CAATGAGGTGATTGCAAGTGATTGCCAAAACGGACCAGGGTGACCTGACTGCTTCTGATCATTCGAATGCTCAGTAACCTTGTACTGATGTATGATGAGTCATTAATGCTATGCAAGCAATACAAGGTACAGTAATGTATGCAATGCCATCATCTGGTTAAGGTTGGAAGTTTAACCCCTTCACGCCGGGACGTGTTAAGACATGCCGTAAAAATTGAGATCCTCAGCCCGCTTTTCAGCTATTATTCTCGGCCCACACTCGAGCGAACACAGTGAAAGAAGGCAGACCCTGGCTCTTGTGTATGGTAATTGGTCTTTGTGTGTAGCCCAAAAATGAAAAGACCGAATTTGCATCATAATTACCAGCTTCACAATAGTCCCCACTTTGAAAAGAGGCAACGGGAATGTGGAAGCTTGAGTAGAGCCGCATGCCACCGAACAATCAGCCTTTTCACTGTGTAATTCAAAGCGTGCAGAGCACGCTGGGAACAAACCGAGAATTTGCAGTTTGGCAGATGGCCTTTGTGGCCAAGCGAGGCTGGAATTCTTGGAGTCGGCTCTCGGAAAGAAATTCCCGCCAAGAAGGGGTTAACTGTTTCTGTAGGGGAGGATATATGTTTGTATATCTCAGTTATCAAAGATAAATGTAACCGATGCCATGTCAACTTTTTACCCTATACATACCCTGTATGTTGAGACCACATGTATAGTAGAAAGGATTTCATTTAACACAATAGCCAGTGCCCTGTATTAGTATGCATTCTACACTACATGTACAAAAGTGATGGTCCATAAAACCACTCATGTCCACAGATCACTACATGTAAACGTGTGAGTAGACATATGTGTGGTAATTGATACTCAATGATCCTATTCAGTGAAAGTTGCCTGTAATTAACAAAGACCAATTCATTAAGTCCAGAGTCTGGTGTAAAGACAACATGGACTGTCCATAGGACTAACAGAGAATCCACAAACATGTCAATAGGTACTCTGCATCAGGGAGGTTGGTTTGAAGAACAGCTGGACTGCTGCTTAATGGCACGCAGAAGCGTTGCGTCAGCGCGCAACTTAATAACACTGAAATTCTTTGTATTTTAGGATCATTCCGTCGTATCCTGTGTATTATGGTACCGGTCCATGAAAAGAAAACCTTCAGGTAGATACATTCGTAGAACAATTTAAAGGATGATTTTATTTAAGATTGGAATTACACAGATTAAATGTACGATACGATAAGATTGCATGAGTGATTGCTAATGTAGACATACATGTAGATTTGCTTTCAATTGACAAGATATCTCTTATAGTCTGGCTATCCGTAGAATACTTATTCCTGGTTTGTACATTCGATACATTAGACAAATCAGACTCAATTTTATAAATGTCAATGGTTTGATTTTCATTCTGCTTTCTGTTTGTTTTATTCATGACCAGCCCAGTAATTCTAGTTTTATTCTAATTACGGCGATATCTGGTTTAGCGACTAGTTCATTTGTATCAGACGTAGTTGAATATATTCTAGTAGAATGTCAATTAATGTTAATCTCTTCACTAGGGAAAGTGAATAGTTGGAGACTAATTGATTTGAGTTAGATTCCTAATTAAGTCCCCTTTCTGTTTCTGTGTTTCCAGAATGTTGTCGTTGTTCCTGTACGTCAAATAAAATAATTATACAGAAGCAGCCATTAGAAGATTCTGGCTTGTCTCGTGGTGATGTGGAGTCGCGCTTCTTGTCTGCACCAAAGTTCTGAAGGTTAGAAGTTCCAGTGAGAGTCGACTTAGCAAGCTGCTGATATTGTGGAACTACCTTATAGTTGGTGAACTTGAAGACGGCAACATGAGTTCAAGAGACGACGCTGGGAATGGGGAGGGCCAAGGAGGCCAAAACACTGCCGTCCTTGAAGATGCTCGAGTTGAAGAGCTAAGATAAAAAGGAAAATCTTGCGGGGAAAAATCACACGTGGTGTGACAGCATCTACAACTGCATGAAGACTCACCAAATCTTGGGCCGACAAAGAATTGGCTACTCTACAGACAGAATTTATGGATGCCAGTGACATTAATGCCGAGATGTTTGTGCTGCCTGGAGCGGCCTGCGAGAAATTGGAAAGGTGGGAGACTGAGCTGATTGAGAGCTTTTACGACTTCGAAGAGTCTGTTACGAAGTACTTTGAAGTTCTGAACTTACCGTCTCTGGCAAGTCCCTGACCGGAATCTTAACCCGGACAGCCTTCTTCAATTGACGAACAATTGCCGTAGGGTCCCCTATACCCAAAGCCAACTAGATAAGGCCCCTAGTTCGGTCACTCTCCCCTACCTAGGACATACCTCCCACTACATCCAGCGTATCCTGAACAAGCACAACATC